TGGATGAAACTGGAGCCCATTATACAGAGCGAAGTAAGCCAGAAAGATAAAGACCATTACAGTATACTAACACATATATATGGAATTTAAAAAGATGGTAATGGCAACCCTATATGCAAAACAGAAAAAGAGACACAGATGTACAGAACAGATTTGGGACTCTGTTGGAAGAAGGCGAGGTGGGATGTTCTGAGAGAATAGCATTGAATCATGTATGCTATCAAGGGTGAAACAGACCACCAGCCCAGGTTGGATGCATGAGAGAAGTGCTCAGGGCTGGTGCACTCGGAAGATGCAGAGGGATGGGATGGGGAGGGAGGTGGGAAGGCGGATCGGGATGGGGAATATATGCAAATCCATGGCTGATTCATGTCAATGTATGGCAAAACACACTACAATATTGTAAAGTAATTAGCCTACAACTAATAAAAATAAATGAAAAACAAACAAACAACAAAGAAAAACAAAGTGAATCAGGTCAAAAGCTAGCATAGTTCCAGTTGAAATAGCCTTTTTAAAAAAACCAATATTTTTACTGACAAATAGTGGATTTACAATGTGTTAATTTCTTCTATATAGAAAAATAATTCAGTTATACATATACATATATTTATATACATTGTTTTTAAATATTCTTTTCCATTTGGATTTATCATAGGATATTGACTATAGTTCTCTGTGTTATAGAGTAAGACCTTGTTGCTTACCCACTCTATATATAAAAGCTTACATCTGCTAACCCCAACCTCCCATTCCACCCCTCTACAAACACCCTCACCCTTAGCAACCAGCAGTGGAAGAGCCTGATTTCAAAACAGAAAAAAAGAAAAGAAAAGAAAAATAAAGTTGACGTGACAAATGAGTACTCACAGAACAAGTCCTTAACCAGAAAAGATGAAATCTTTAAATAGATCCCAAATAAAACTTGGTGAGCTTCAAAATGAAAAAAAAAAAAAATACAGCAAAAGCTTGTATCTAGGATAAAGGCATCCTTAGACCCCGGGGAAAAGGAGAGAAGCAATGAGCAACTGGCCTCAATGTTGGTAATGCACCTATTTGCTGACCAGCCTGAGTCACTGGGAGTCTTTTTTGGATCCCCATATGGGCCACTAAAATGTTGACATAAAACAATTACACTGACAGTTATTTCTATAGCAAAAATGGTTTTATTTGGGGTCAGCAAATTGTGATGCAGAGTCTGCAATCATGGTGATCCACATGCAACTTTCTTCAACAAGGAGACAACTCTTTTAGAGGGAAAAGGGAAGTTAGGAAGGCTGTAGTAAACATAGAGTTCACTGGAGAAATTAAGAGTTCAAAGTATAGTGGCTTTTCATTGGTTGAGTTGTGAGTCTCTCATTGGCAAAGATGGTTGGATGGCATCACTGACTCAATGGACATGAGTCTGAGCAAACTCAGGGAAATAGTGAAGGACAGGGAAGCCTTGTGTGGTGCAGTCCATGAGGTCACAGAGTTGGACACGACTTAACCATTGAACAACAACAGCAACAACATTGGCAATTAAGAGTTCAAAGTATAGTGGTTTTACATTGGCTGAGTTGTGAGTCTCTCATTGGCTGAGTTCTTGCCAGGAACAAAGATAGTGTTTCTTCTTATTACTGGGCTATGTTATGGTATTAGTGTGTGAGAGTGTCCCTTTTTGGCCTCTCAACTCTGCTTTAATTGAGGTTTCTGTTTGTTACTTTTCACTTTTTATTCCCACTATCCCAAAGAGAGAAAAGCAGCTGGCGGTAATACTTGACCTCTAGCCCAGAGTTCTTAGTCTTCTGTAATGCAGTTATTAATTATAAATGGTGAGGGAGAATAAACAAAGAGCACTTATTCACAGCAGGCACTTTATAGCAGTCTCTAAAGCCAATTTTTTTTTAATAGGTGAAGAAAAAGAAGCTATGAAATAATATGCTTACGGTAGTAAAATAGTGTGTGGAGTTGACCAAATCTAGGCTCTTTATGTGCTCCTCTCTGTTATATACCTAGCTCTGTCCCTACCAGACTAATCTCTTTAAGGGAACAAACCCTGTTCTGTTTTCTCAGTGTTTCTGGAGATGATTTCCCCGTGAATTGGGTGGGGGAACAACTGATTCCATGATTTATTTGGTCATTTTAGAGCGTTTCATCCTAAAGTGGGTGTGGCCATTTGCTTTTTCTTTTTATAATCGCAGAGGCTAGTGAAGCTGGGGGCGGTGATAACATGGCAGTAGGAAGGCTGATGAACTGAGTTCCAAGTTTTAAATGTACATTTGTTATCCCCGATTTTCAAAAGCTCCTCCGTAAGTGTAGAGTGTGACCTTAGAGGTAATATTGACAGTGGCACAGGCGCGACTATTACTGCTATAAAATTCAACGACTAGTATAAAATTCAACGACTAGAAATGCACAGAAGTTGCCTCAGCCTTCTTCTGAATGGAGCCCTCCCTCCAGGTGCCAACTACAGTCATTGGTTCTGAGGTTAGGGAACTCATCCAAGTCTTCTCCCAGAAAGCTTTAGTTAGCTGCTGCCACTGCCCCAGGCTTCACCCCGCGGACAGCTGAGCAGCCCCACTGTGCTCTTTTCCTTCAGTCCTTGATAAGGAAACCCAGCTCAAAACCAGCAGAACTACTCCCATTGCTGCCAAGGTCGGAAGCTGGAGGCTTCGAGTCTGAACTCAGCCCTGCTCACACTGAACCCCTCTTTGTCCCTACATTCCCTGTTGAACCCCGCATCCATGCTGTTCCCCTGTCCCAGTCTTGTTGCTGAACCTGAATCCCGCCGTGTTGTCATTCCTGACTGTGGTCCTGGAACCCGCTGTCATCAGCCTTTTGGTCCCTGCAGCTGTCTTTGCCACCTCTGTCACTTTCCCAAAGGAGACAGTATTCAAACATCTGGAAAGGGAACTCCTTAAATGTGCAGAAAGAAGCCAGCTTTGGCAGAACATCCTATTAGGCAATTTTGATGTCCTTTGAAAAAGATCCCATATTTAGACTGACTTTACAATACTACCATACCATTTTGTCCTCTTGCTTTCATGACAAGAAGATGTATCTCTGCTACTAAAGTAACTTGCACTTGTAAAAACTTATAAATGCTCTACAAAGCAAGCTATACGCTTGACTCATTATCAGTTAAAAAAAAAGGCTAGGCAAGAATTATATCATTTCAAGAAAATATGAATTTCTATTTCAAATACATAATTACAGAAGAATTTCCTGAAATTGGTGACCAGCAGGTGAAATCTTTTCCAGAAAAAAGATTCTAAAAGTGACACAGGAATTGGGGGAAATTGATTACTAGCATCCTTCAAACTGACCCTCTTTCCAACCCTCTATCCAATTTTGAAGAAAGGATATTTAGCAGAAAGGATAACAGTTAAAAGATAGTTTGCCTACTGATACAGAAGAACTGTGAGTTCTTAAAGAATTAGAGAAAGGGAGATTTAATACATATGTTTGATAGAAATTCTCACACTGTGTTTAAAGATGAAGAGGATGAAATCTCTTCAAAGAAGAATGGCAGAGGAAAGAGGCATGTAGATACTACCAAAAATAACCAAATTTCTTATTCAGATAGCTCTCAAGTTGAGGCCACAAATGCAAGGTGCAGGATCAAGGATTTATGACATAAATAAATTAATATAATCCCGTGCCATCCATGTATTTTTCTCATTCTGCTTAGCCTGAAAGTTTGGGTTCAAATAAATACAGAAAAAAATACCCAAACTCAGCGAGAAGGCAGTGGCAAGCAAACAAAAGGGAAATAAATATCTGTATTAACTATATGCCAGATATGATAAATACCAAAGCACCTACCGACATTAACAAAGTTTTCATTTATGTGGTGAATGGTGAATATCACCCTGCTTTCCCAGAACTGACTTTGAAGCCTCCCAAAGGAAAGAATAGTTATAGCAGTGCAAGCACTGCAGCTGGCATCAGTGAAAAAGGATGACCTCTGGAAAGCAGTAACCATGAAGGTCGCTTTAAGTATCATGATAGTGGTGAAGAGAAAAAGCAGGAGCAAGATAGTCTTTCAAAGGAAGATTTGCCTTGATCTGAATCATCTAAGATAACTGAAGAAGTGAAGTGTCATGCCAGCCACTGCTTTTTCCAACTAGAGCAGAAAGAATGTTCAGGAAAAATGGAATAGAGTGCTTCAAAGCCTAAAGATGCCAATTTGCAGGAGAAAATTCAAATTCAGTTCTAAAAATGAAACTGCATTGTTTGGAAAAATTAAGGAGTAGACATATTAAAATTATTCAAAACAGAGTTTGTGATAAAATTATTCTTGTTAATTTCACAACAGGTTCTTTTACTTATGTGTTAATTTTGAAAAAAAGAGAATCAAATGCTGAATACTTATAGCCAGAATATTTTATTAGTTCCAAGTTACTCTGTTAACATCGCCTAATGATAACAGAGGAGAAGGCAATGGCAACCCACTCCAGTACTCTTGCTGGAGAATCCCATGGACAGAGGAGCCTGGTGGGCTGCCGTCTATGTGGTTGCACAGAGTCGGACACGACCGAAGACTGAAGCGACTTAGCAGCAGCAGCAATGATACAGAAGTAGCATCTAAAATTATTTTTTCAAAGAAAATTGTTTGAATGTTGTTTGCAACTCTATCTTAATATAGTTTTTTTTTCCATTTATTTATTTATTTATTTATTTGTTTATTTATTTATTTATTTTTTCTATTTATTTTTATTAGTTGGAGGCTAATTACTTTACATCATTGCAGTGGTTTTTGTCATACATTGAAATGTCCCACCTCCCTCTCCACCCCATCCCTCTGGGTCTTCCCAGTGCACCAGGCCCGAGCACTTGTCTCATGCACCCAACCTGGGCTGGTGATCTAGTTTTATATGAGATATAGTAGACCATCACAAAAATGTAAAGGTTTCAACTGATCTACAACTCTTAAACTTATTTATGTTTTACAGGCATTTTTGTATCCCCATTACTCAAAGTTTTGCACCTAAATACATACTTAAAATGTAATATATTTTCTTCTGGTTATTTCAGAATAACCAGAATATATAACAATATATTAATTATATATTAACAATATATTAACACAAAAGGCAGAAAGAAATGCTTAAATCTGATAAAGGAAGCTATTTGTATGGAAATGATATTAAAATGAATTTTGAAATTAGAAAAACAAATGCTGAAGTGTTTATTATTTATTTTTATTTTAAGTAAACACCACTTGTACCTCCTAGTTCCTAATAGCCCACATGACAAACACCTAAGTAATAGAGGAAAGGCCTCTTGCCCACCTTTCTTGCAACTCTTGGCCCTAATATAGCTAAGCTGTGCTGAACTTCCTACCATTCTCCCAAACACTGCATTTTCTTTGTTCATACTGTTTCTTCTGTCATGTTTTCTTTTTGTAACGTGTTTTCTCTAGTTTATATGCCCATAAAATCCTTGTTTATTCTTCAAAACTAGCTCAAAATGTATTTTCTTTAAAATGCCTTTCTTAGGAAAAAAATATCTCCGCATTTCCACGGCAACCTTGTACATCTATTTCATTATATTTATATTACAAATATCTGTTTATATGTCTGTCTCCCACTAAACTCAGAATCTCAGATGGACCTTGACACCCATCCACAATAAAGGTTTGACAACTGAAAGCAGAGTTTTGTCATCAAAAGGCTTGAGGTTAATACAAGCTCAATTCAAGGACTTTCAATATCCAAAGTAAAAAAGTATCTGCTTGGAATTCTTTTTCAGTACTGAAAGTGGATGGCAACAGAACAAGGCTGAGAAGTCCAGGATCAAAAAAGAGGAAAAAGGCTCTGAAGGGTAAAATGGTTCACTGACAAAGGAGATGTAGCTGATGAATGGTAGAAGGGGGACATTTGAATCTTCAGGCTTTAAACATCAAAACCAGTTCTCTTTATGCTTATATATCTTCACATTGCACCTGAGACTTAAAGGTCTGTCTCCATCTTGAATTTGATGTTTTATACTCCACCATTTGTTTTCATGTGTGAGAATACTCTCCAGGAAACAGAATTCCTTTTCTCATTTAATATGCTCTTCTCTCCTTAACTTCCATGCTGTTTTTCCTAAGATTTCCTTGTGCTCAAAATGCAGAACAACTGCCACTGCCCTTACACAACTTTCTAAGCTTTTGCCTCCTCCTCTGTATCCACTTCTCACTTTATTTAATACCATTCTTGAAGCAGTAGTTAAATACAGGCTTGGCACCTACCAGGCCAAGTAGGCTTAGGGACTACTTAGGGCCAATCAGTGCATAGGCAGCCACAGGAAGGATTGGCAGTGTTCTAGAAAGGGAGCAGGGGTTGTTCAAAGCTCAAAGAGGGAAGTCATAAGATCTGGATGGCTCATGCACTGTTGAATACTCTCTCTTCTAACAGAGGCTAAGGCACGAGTCTCCTGAAAGCGGCGGTGTCCCTCCTCAGTAAGCCTCCAGAGGCCAGACCTTGACCTTGCACTGGCCCCATCCTGAGGGCTGACTGGTGTCCTCTCAAAGCTGTCCAGGAAGCAGAGGTTGTGGCGGATGGTATTCTTCCATCCATCTGGAGCTGTCCAGAAAAAGGGGAAATGCTGTTGGGTGAAACTGTAGATCTCTTGCACATTGAGGCCACAGGGAGGGCTGTTTCTAAGTGCCAGAGCAATTAAGTGACTGTAATTGAGGGGGGGACGAGGCCAGGACTTCTCCTCCTGGCTGTTGCCTTGCCATAGCTTCTGGCTCTGGAAGCACTCCCTTTTGTTTGGGGACTGGCAGACCACAGAGGAGTTGTTATCTTTTTCCTTGGTCTCCTCTTCTATGAGCTCCCTGTCACTGGAGGAAGAGGTGATCCGCTTCTGTAGGGGAGATTGCTTGCTGGAGGAAGATGGCAGAGACTGCATCACTGTGGCCTCTGAGCAGTTAGATACTTCATCTCTGAGTAGCTGACGAGAAACGCGTATGCGTGCAAGATCCTTTTTCTTTCTGGGCTCTGGGGTCCCCCGGCTGCCAAGGGAGCATGCAATGTTGGGATTCACCCACATCCACAGGTTGGGTTCAGAGTTAGGACGATCTTTTCCAGGGCTGGATTCCCTCCCCTGAGGTACTTTTGGAGCCTCCATTACTTGAAGTCTGTATCTGGCAAGGTTCTGCTCAACTAAGGGGCACTGGTCTGTGGTGCAAGAAAGGGAGAACTCATTTCCCATGTCCCAGTCCAGCAGCCCTGGGATCTGGCCATGGAAACTGTACCAGAACTCAGGATTTTTTAGTTTTAGGTCCATCTTTAGTGGAGAGGTGGGTGGAGAGAGATTTCTAAAAGGACAGAGATCTCTGAGGCACTTTTCAAAGCCTTTGTTGAGGCACCAGTTTTGATGCAGTATATCTCATCTAGAGTTTATCAGAAGGTAGATATACCAGAAAGGGGGGCACCAGTGCCTCATTGATTAATTGTTAAACTTGGAGAAACCACAATGTTCTGGAATGGAACTCAAAACAAACAAGTAACTAAGAAGAACTTTTTAGCAGGAAAAAAGTTCAAGGTAGAATTCCTGAGTTTTCATTGGAAGCACAGAGTCCCCAAGTGAGGACCTATAAATTTTGAACTATGTGCAAACTAAGGTGACTTGTATAACAGGTGCAAGTCTGGCATATCTTTCAACTCTTGCTGAGTTCATTTAACGATGGAACAAACATGTACATGTATCACATTATATTTTGAGTCATTCTTAAATGTTTTAAAAAATCATTTTTTTAAAAGTGCCTTTTGTCAAGTGATTTCACATAGATGATCTCAACTGATCCTCATGACGGTCCTGTAAGATAACACAGTGGGTATTATTAATCTCATATTACAGATAAGGGAACTGAAATCTATGTAATAATTAAGACTACATATCTAAGTAAGTAGCAGAACTAGGTCCACAGCCCAGATCTTCTGACCCTTTCATTATACCCACTGCCTCAATCATATTCAAAATACTATATAAAAGAAGCAGCAATATATGTAACCTGAGTTTTTAAAGTAAGATGGAATCTATCAGAAGATAAACTGTTAGCCTCAAATCCATACTAGAAATAAACTGTGCTATTTTCAGTCTTATTCTGGGAAACAGCTTCCTTATCTCAGGGCACCTTCTCAGAAACTGAGTTCTAAACTGTACTCTGAAGACAGTACACTCAAAGTTGAGCTATGGAATGCAAGTTTCTGAAAGCTCCAGAGTTTGACTTCCCAGTAAGTTCATCCCATGGGCATTCTTAGGAAAAACAAAATGGGAAGGTTTTATTTAATTGAATCTTCACAAAGTCCATCTCTATAGTATGTGATTTCATTAAAATCATTACAGAAAACTATACCTCAAAAATGTCCAGCAAATGTCAACAGGAGCTCTTGAGGGGACAAACTAAACCTCTATTGTTTCCTCCCCATTCTTGTCCTATTCTATCCCAAATCATCCTCCTTACAGACAGCCAGAGTGATCTTTCTACTGTATAAATATAAAAGATAATAATAGTAATAACATCAATTGTTAATACTTACTGAATGCTGTAAGCACTATATGTGGTTTAACTCATTAATCCTCAAAACAATCCTATGAAATACATGCTTTTGTTATTATCCCTTCACAAAGGAAACAAGATTTTTTTTTAAAGCTTAAGTCAGATAGTCAGTAAACATCAGAGTTGAATTTCAAATCCAGGCAGCCTGAGAGTTTTTGCTCACTATACTATAATCTCTTCTGTTTCTCTACACCAACACAAAATATATGACTTAATGCAGCAAAAAAAGGCCATCCAGAATCCTATTTCTGTTTACCTTTACAGGCTAATTTATCACTTCAGCTTCTTTGCTTCATAGTCACCTCCCAGAAACAACGAACTTCTGGGATTTTCATACCCCCCCCCATCTTTTGTGTATGGCTCTTGGCTCTAGTTGCCAGCTCTACTTGGAATGGTCTACTCCCAATTGCCTTGGCTTGACTGTTCCCTACTCATCTTTTAAGATGCAAAGATATTCAGTTCAGTTCAATTCAGTTGCTTATTTGTGTCCAACTCTTTGTGACCCCTGGACTGCAGCATGCCAGGCTTCCCTGTCCATTACCAATTCCTGGAGCTTGCTCAAACTCATGTCCATCGAGTCAGTGATGCCATCCAACCATCTCATCCTCTGTCGTCCCCTTCTCCTCCTGCCTTCAATCTTTACCAGCATCAGGATCTTTTCTAATGAGTCAGTTCTTTGCATCCGGTGGCCAAAGTATTGACCTTCAGCATCAGTCCTTCCAGTTCAGGACAAATTTCCTTTGTAATTGATTGACTGGTTTGATCTCCTTGCAGTCCAAAGGACTCTCAAGAGTCTTCTCCAACACCACAGTTCAAAAGCATCAATTCTTCATCACTCAGCTTTCTTTGTAGTCCAACGCTCACATCCATACATGACTACTGGAAAAATCATAGCTTTAACTAGGCGGACCTTTGTTGGCAAAGTAATGTCTCTGCTTTTTAATATGCTGTCTAGGTTGGTCATAGTTTTTCTTCCAAGGAGCAAGCATCTTTTAATTTTATGGTTGCAATCACCATCTACAGTGATTTTGGAGTCCAAGAAAATAAAGTCTGTCACTGTTTCCATTGTTTCCCCATCTATTTGCCATGAAGTGATAGGATCGGATGCCATGATCATAGTTTTTTGAATCCTGAGTTTTAAGCCAGCTTTTCCACTCTCCTCTTTCATTTTCATCAAGAGGCTCTTTAGCTCTTTTTTGCTTTCTACCATAAGGATGGTGTCATCTGTGTATCTGAGGTTATTGATATTTCTGCCAGAAATTTTGATTCCAGCTTGTGCTTCATCCAGCCCACCATTTTGCATGGTGTACTCTGCATAGAAGTCCAATAAACAGGGTGACCATATACAGCCTTGACATACTCCTTTCCCAATTTGGAACCAGTTTGTTTTTCCATGTCCAGTTCTAACTGGTGCTTCTTGACCTGCATACAGATTTCTCAGGAGGCAGGTAAGGTGATCAGTATTCCTATCTCTTTCAGAATTTTCCAGTTTGTTGTGATCCACACAGTTAAAGGCTTTGGCGTAGTCAGTAAAGCAGAAGTAGATGTTTTCTGGAATTCTCTTGTTTTTTTGATGATCCAACAGATGTTGGGAATTGGATCTCTGGTTCCTCTGCCTTTTCTAAATCCAGTTTGAACATCTGAAAGTTCTAGGTTCACAAACTGTTGATGCCTGGCTTGGAGAATTTTGAGCATTACTTTGCTAGCATGTGAGATGAGTTCAATTGTGCAGTAGTTTTAACATTCTTTGGCATTGCCTTTCTTTGGGATTGGAATGAAAACTGACTTTTTCCAATCTTGTGGCCACTGCTGAGTTTTCTAAACTTGCTGGCTTATTGAGTCTTGTTGCATATTGGTGTTAACAGCATCATCTTTTTTTTTTAACAGCATCATCTTTTAGGATTTGATACAACTCAGTTAGAATTCCATCACCTCCAGTAGCTTTGTTCGCAGTGATGCTTCCTAAGGCCCATTTGACTTCACATTCCAGGATGTCTGGCTCTAGGTGAGTGATCACACATTGTGGTCATCTGGGTTGTGAAAATCTTTTTTTGTATAGTTCTTCGATGTATTCTTGCCACCTCTTCTTAATATCTTCTGCTTCTGTTAGGTCCATACCATTTCTGTCCTTTATCGTGCCCATCTTTGTATGAAATGTTCCCTTTGTATCTGTAATTTTCTTGAAGAGATCTCTAGTCTTCCCCATTCTATTGTTTCCTCTATTTCTTTGCACTGATCACTGAGAAAGGCTTTCTTATCTCTCCTTGATATTCTTTGGAACTCTGCAAAGAATTTCAAGGACGTTATCTCTAATAAAATGCTGCTTCCACCTCCCAAAAGGGAATTAAAGGCTCACCTTCCCAATTGCAAATCGATCAGGGAAAAGCAGGGGACTAATCCTGAAATATTCAGCTTTTTATGACAAAAGAGTGTGGCAGCATTTTAACTCTCAGCAGTTCTTTATCCCATAAGTAGGGACTCTAGTGTTGTAGAATTTCTCTTCCATCTTCACCAGGGAGCACAGTCCGATCTTTAGGGATTGGCTAGTTAAACCAGGTCATCCCTGTGTATTTTATTTCTTTAAGCCTCTTTAAAATATTTAATGTGTAGGTAATTGAACTCACCATGTAACAAGAGTACAATATGTCTAGCAGATGAATAAGACACAACTCAAGAGAATATTGCAGCTAAATATAGGAAGACAGACAAATAAAGAGAAAATTCAAACAGTGTGATGAGTGCTAGACATTGTGTTAGGAGAGCATAGAGAGGGAAAACCCAACTTTAATGATAGGAATCAGAAGAACTCTCAATAGGAGGAGTTGCTTGAGCTAAGACTTAAAAATACACGCTACCCATGGGTAGATACATGCGGAATAGGCTAGCACACGCTAACCAAGAACTTGGTACCTTGTTTTTCTTAAGTGTGTTCCAAAAAAAGGGGTCAGAGCATTTTGCATATGCTCTAAAAAATAGTTAACAGTCATATTTGTGAGTATCCTTGTTTCTAAGCTCCTACCCACCTCAAATGTTAATATAGTTAGCGACTAATGAAACTGCATCATAAGCAAAATAGGGCACACACACATACACAGACACACAGACACAGACACATACATTAATGGCCCAATAATAGCAGTGGTGGAACTAGCATTTTTGTCTGCCATCAATTTTCAAAAGCATTCCTACATTCAGACTGAAGTCTCCACTAAAAGAACTATTAAAGAAGGCAGTTTATACATGTTTTGGGACAGGAAAAAAAATCAGATATGTCTCATAAATAAATTCTCTTGTTATAAACAAGAATACTTTCAAGCACATCAGAGGCAGTGTTAAAAGGATGGATAGTTAATTTACATGGTATTCTGCTACCAAACTGTGACTTTTTGATGCACACATTATTATTAGTTAAACTGGTTTGGTCTTTAAAGGGCTATGAGTACATAATGATATCCAAATTTTTAAAAGAAGTTAATTGTTATTTAAAAAACAATAGTAAATGCCATAGGCTATTTACTTTTTCTTGCTTTTACATAAGAATTCTTAAATTCTTAAACATAAAAAATTCTTAAAATTCTTAAACATGTTTTTTTTTCATTTTAAGAATATGTCTATTTCTAAAGTATAGATATGTACTTGTTTCTGTTGGAGGGTAGACAGGAAAGAATACATGAGAAACAATGAGTAAACCATATGTTGTTCTAGGAAAATAGGTACATACCAATGGCTATTGCGTTTGTATGCTGCCTGGGCTGGTTTTCAAACCATGCAACCTGATCCTGGGGCTGTGCAAATCTATAGGAAGTACCTCTTCCTAATTCATACAGAAGAGTCATCCAGTCACCATTTGGCCACAAAGTATATCCTATCAGAAACAGCAACTTTTTTTTCTTTTTTTTTTTAGAAACAGCAACTTTTAAAAAAAAATTCACACATAGGCAAGCAGTATGTATACCAAGAACTGGTAAAACAGATTAGCCCTAATGGTCAAACATAATAATAGGTCCAATAGGGTATTCCAAGATGATTAATGATATAATGTAAATAAGAGAACGATCTAGGAAGACTCAACCCCTCATCTCCTAGGAGATGGGTCCACTAAAAAGACTTACTAATTATAATAAAATACAAATAAAAAATATAAGCCTTAATAGTAGTAACAACCCAGATATAAACAGCAAAAAAGACAGAATAATGGGTACTTCCAACATGCAGACATTACAGAATGCTTCATTTTGTTAAAGACAAGTCAACCCCTAAAATAACTCTACATGACAGAGATGCAGTGTGAAATATCAAATAAAACATCATTCTTAAGAGGATCTTAGCCAATGCCACATGGTTAAAATTGCCTTTAACTATTAAATCATGTCCTATAATTCCCCCAAAGAATCAATTAGTTGATAGCACATATTCTGTTACCTCAGCTTGTCTGAGATGGTATTTCTCTTTTCCTCTCAGTTCAGTAAGGTTATTGAAATCCTAGGAAAATGTAAAAGAGTGAAATTCTAGAAAAATATCAAAATGATTATAACAACCTAAAAAAGGAAAAATGTAAGGGCAGCAATAAAGAGGAAACAAATTAAACTCACGGTGTTCATATTTTAGAATAGGCTTAAATGCAAGATCATGAATATATCTGTAACCACTGTATATATGTAGGTTTAAAATGCTATTCAAACTGAAGTGTTTTAAAAAAACAGTGCTAAATTTGTAATTGCATTTTAAAACTTTTAGGAAATTTAATTAATCAAATTGACAATCAATATTTAGATGGTCAATTAAAAATTAGTTTTAAAAAAAGTTTTTAACAGTTTTATTAGTTATTTGAATTTAATAAAATTGAGCAGTAAACACAGTACAAATAGTAGCAAAAAAAAAAACAAATAAAATAATAAAATCTTTCAAAAATTCTCTAGGTACAAAAGTCCAATGGCTCACTGTTCTCATATGAACCAAAACAATGGAATTCAACTTTGGACATTTTATGTTTCAAGCAGTTGGGCTTGTCCATATAGCAAACTGTAGAAGACTGCTGAAATAAATCATTGTTAATCCAGTCACCAACTTCTATCTGCTACATCTTATTGAGCTTCAGTTTCCTCATTTATAAAATGAGGATAATAAAAAATCTTACCTAAACAAATATTGAAGTTATTGAGACTATCAAATGACATAATGTGTGTCATTAATTACTATATAATGTACATCAAGACCTAGTTTTACTGTTTGACACATAATAAGTTCTGTAAATGCAAACTTTTATTTATGTTATTTTTAAGAAGAATAAGGTTCTTAGGGATATATCATTCAGAAATCATATTGAAAAATAAATGAGATTTATTTTAGTGACTATGCATGGAATGCTTACTTAAATTAGCAGTATTGAGATTGGATTTTAATTATTAGTTTGGGAGCTGCAATCTGAGTTAAAAATCTCAATCCAACAAAACTTTGAGCCTTACTTAATTTTAAAGCTTTGAGAGTCCTGAACTCAAAAGCACCTGAGGAAGCAAGTGTGTTAGTCACTCAGTCATGTCTGACTTTTTGCGACTCCATGGACTACAGCCTGCCAGGCTCCTCTGTTCATGGAATTCTCTAGGCAAGAATACCAGAGTGTGTAGCCATTCCCTCCACAAGGGGAATCTTCTTGACCCAGAGATCAAACCCAGGTCTCCTGCACTGCAGGCAGATTCTTTACCATCTGAGTCACTAGGTAACACCTCTTTATTTGGAATATTTTTTCAAAGTGTTCTGAGATACTTTGAAAGCAAATAATAGTCCCTTGTTCATTGCCACTTACTGCTTGTTTTCCTCTCCAAGGGTTTGACTTTAAGTGCTTAGGCAGGGGAAGAAAACTTTCTACAAGGTAAAACAGAACATAAAAACAAATAACAGCTTTGTTAAGATAACTACATCTCGGGATGAGTTTCACACACTTTCCTGCAAAGCTCTTCTTAATGCAAAGGATTTTAATAATGATTAAGTGATTTGTGAAGAACATAAAGGATCTTAAGTACAGTACATGTTTCACACCATGTTAGCTGTTTTTTGTTATTCTCACGAGGACAACTCATAGCTACACACATATATAGAAATATATACTGTAGCCAGGTTAGTATAACACACTGATTTCACATATTTTGGTAACATACTCTTTGCTCCAAAGATATAAGAAATGATAAATAAAAATGTATAGACAGACAGACCATAAAAGATAGTCAAGCTCAAATACAAGAAAAATATCTCACTAGATAAGTAATACAAAATAATGAGTGGAATTGAAGCAACTGGCTTGCTGGACTATGGATTATCAAGCAGGACCTGGATGTTAGGAATTTGATCTCTTTGAGGGAAAGGAAACAAAAAAACTGGGACTAAGATGAGGCTACCTCTGCTTGTGAAAAGAAGGTAAAACATACCTCTGCGAAACTCTGGCAAACTACAGGTCTAAGAAAGAAAACAATTAAAGACCAAACTTTGTAGCTAGATGCTGAGCCAAGCTGCTTACTAGCTATCGTAACTGGTTCTATTTGATCTCCTGGACCTATGGTATCCTCAGTAACATCATGAGGCCATAATTTGGAACTATCATTTTGGGATTTGTAGTGAATTTAAGCCTGAATAGCTGGGAGGAAGCAACCAATCAACTTCATGATAAGGGTGGGTAATTAGACTAATAAATAGAGGTAGAGAACAAAAATCTTCCATTCAAATGAAACTGAAAACCAAAATTCCAAAACACATGAATAAATTTAATAACAAGAAATATTAACAGCCAGATCATTAATTCACTTGAGATAGCAATAAAATTATGGAGTGATCTGGAAAACAAAGTAAGTATGCTTAGGATACTTCAAAAAGATAAAGAATCAACATATTAAAAATGTATACAGTGAAAGAAACTGATAGAAATGAAAGCAATTAAAAATTTTGAAATAAAAATGTCACTGAAAATTTTAATATGCAATAGATGAGACAAATTTGACTGGATATGGCCAAAGAGCAAATTGGTGACCTGGAAGATACAGTACTAAAGAACTCACAAAGCATGCAGCAGGTAGTAATAAAAAGATAAAATTACAAAAGAATAGTTAAGATACATGGAAGATAATTCATCTATTTCATCTAATAGGAAGTTCAAAAATATTGAGAATAACAAAGAATCAATAATTGAAGAAAGATTGCTAATTACTTTTCAGATTTGAAGAAATCTGAGTTCTTACATCAAAAGTCCACTGAGCAAGATAAATAAAAATCAACCTACTCCCAGACACAGTGAATAAAACCTCATAACATCAAGAATAAAGTGTCAGGAAAGGTGGGTGTTTGATACAATGACAGTGTTGCTGAGTTGGGTGCTGGTGGTAGTGTGCCGGCCCTCAGAATCTCTGAGAAGCCACTAGTACCTTCTGCCCTTGTCATCTGAAATAATCTTCTCTCATTATTTCCAAGATTATTTCAAATACAATATGCCACTGAGACACTTAAGTTTTGTTCCATAGCCATCGGGATAGAGATTTCAGAGGGGTCTGTGTGCGTGTATGTGTGTGCGCCTAGCTATATAGAGGGAAATTACCTCCCACTGCTCTTAAGGTGTGAGAAAGTTGTAGATACTGATGCCCATACAAACTGTGTTGGGAGTAGGCTAATTGCAGAAGCTAAGACTGTGATTAATAAAGCCAGGATGGAGACACAGAATCACTGGCTCACTTACAAAAAGACAATGACACTGGACAACATACTCCAGTTTGAGTCAAACCTGGATGTGCAATTTGGAGAAGAGGATGCAGATCCAGATGCCATGTTTCATTCCTTTGTTTTGTATGGACTCTTTGGAACAGCTGAATAATTGACTCTGCCCCAAAGGGTGCTGAGAGGTTCTTGCAGGAAATTTATCACAATGTACTGAAACCTCAGACTTTTTTTTTTCTTGAGAAGTAATTTGCATAGATTAAAATGCATAGAACAGATACATTCAATATGATCAATTTTGACAATTGTATACACCCATGTATACACCACCCAAAACAAGATGTAGAACATTTCTATCCCTCCAGAGGGTTTTCTTATCCCATTTCCAAGCAATCGTCACTCACCCTTGCAGCTACTTTCTGTTTTCCATCACCATAGATAAGCTGTGCCTGTATTTCTACTTTACATAAAAAAGAATTATACAATCATCATAATAAATAATAATAAAACAACAATCTTAAGAACCACTAGAGGGGAAACATGCTTCCTTCCAAAGAAAGATAAACTAGTCTGGGGGAAAACAACAATAGATGCTAGAAATATTTACACATGAAGTTAAACTGTCAACCTGGATCTTTGTACCCAACTAATACCCCATAATGGCAAAATAAAGGCACTTTCAGTCTTTTAGTTAGAGTCCCTTGGACTGTAAGGAGATCCAACCAGTCCATCTTAAAGGAGATCAGTCCTGGGTGTTCACAAGAAGGACTGATGCTGAAGCTGAAACTCCAATACTTTGGCCACCTCATGCGAAGAGTTGACTCATTGGAAAAGACCCTGATGCTGGGAGGGATTGGGGGCAGGAGAAGGGGATGACAGAGGATGAGATGGCTGGATTGCATCACTGACTCAATGGACATGAGTTTGAGTAAACTCCGGTAGTTGGTGATGGACAGGGAGACCTGGTGTGCTGTGATTCATGGGGTCGCAAAGATTCGGACACAACTGAGCGACTGAACTGAACTGAACTGAACTGAAGCACCTACATACTGTCATTACATACACAGGAAAACAATGTATCTTATAAATAAGAGAAATGAAGCCAGAGAGAAATTATAGAGAAAAAGAATCAATGATAAGCAAAGCAACTGATAAACTATGTCTAATGTGACTATAAAATTACCATAACTGACCTTTTGTTTAAAATGGCAAACTAAAACTGTCCAAAATAATTAGGGGTTCAAATGGGTAGTTCAAGCATACTAAAGTCCGTGCCACAGTTAAGAGGATAAAAATACTGAATAACCAAATAACATTTTGTATATATAAAATGTTCTAGCAAATATAAAATATATATACACAAGTACATACATATGTAATACATATATATATATGATATGTAAGGACAATGTGAATGTAAATATAAATTATAGCATCCAGATCAGCAGAAATAATCAGGGATAGAGAAGCTAAAAACATTTATGTTAAATTGAAAATGAACAAAAAGGAAGTAGAAATGAGTCAAAATGTATCAATAAACATAATTGTAAACAAATTAGACTCATCAAACAAAGACTGTTATAACAAGTTTTTTGGTAATCTAGTTATATACCATTTATAAGAGCTTCATCTAAAACAAAACCACACCAAAATATATATAAAAATATAAAATAAAAATGATAATAACAAAACAGAAAAAATTAGTGTGGCAATACTAATATCAGATACATTAAATTAAAGGCAAAAAGTAATCTTCATATTATAGAGAAGAACAGAAAGCCAAGAAC